CGGGGCCGGGCGGGAGCCTTCAGGGCTGCTCTGCCCTCAGGTACTTGTCACCCGTGGTCGGGGTCTCCCCGTCCGAGCAGCTCGACAACCCAGAGCTGGACAAGGAAGACTCGAGCACCGACCTCCAGACGCGGAGGCGGCGGCTGCAGCTCCGGGCAGCGACGACCAGGATGAGGGTGGCCGCGCTGGGACGCGACCTGGAACTGGACGACTGGGGTGAGAACCCCGGGCGCCCCGAGCGCTTCGCCCCTCCCGGCTTTCTGCGATCCGACCCGGCCCCGCCCACTGCCTTCTGAGCCCCTCCCCTCGCATCTTTACTCATTCATTACTTTCCTCCTTTTTTGAACACGCCTTTACTGAACGCTTACCTCAAAGTTGAGTGGAAGAAGACCCGTGGCAGGGTCTCCATCCTTGAGTTCACGGCCCAGTGGGAAGACACCAAAACACTCTTACAGAACAGTGGGAAGCCTTTTAGATCGAGCAAAAGGGTGTGGGTTGTTGGGGAGGGCTTGCAAACTGGGGGAGGTGGGGAAGCTGGGTGGGGGGCCATTGGGCTGGCTCCCAGGATAGAGTTTGCCGGAGAAGCAAGGCACAGACAGACGTTTGTTTTTTCTCATCATCTGTTTGTCCGTCTCTGTCTCGCATTGTCTCTCCTTCAACACCCCTCTTTCTGTCTGCTTGCTGCTTCTGTGTGCGTCTGTTTTGTCTTTTCCTGTGTATCCTCTCTCCCCATCTCTCTCTCTGTTCTGTCTCTGTCTCATTGTCTCTTTTCTTCTCTCATTCCTACATCTGTCTGACCTCTCCCCTCGCCTTCCTGTCACTCATTTTCTCCCTCTTCCCAATCTCCATCTATCCACCTGTGTCTCTCTCCCATCTCTTCTGTTTTTATTTTTTAAAGATATTTATTTATTTATTTATTTGAGAGAGTGAGAGAGAGAGCAGAATGAGCGAGAGCACAGTGGGAGGGGGGAGAGGCAGAGGGAGAGGGAGAATCAGGCTCCCCGCTGAGGAGGGAGCCCATGCGGGGCTTGATGCGGGGCTTGACGCGGGGCTCGATGTGGGGCTCAATGCGGGGCTCCATCCCAGGACCCTGAGCCGAAGGCAGACACTTAACCAACTGAGCCACCCACACGCCCCATCTCCTTTCTGTTTTTAATCTTAAATTCTCTTGTCTCTCTCCCCGCTCCCCCTCTCACTGTGTCTGTCTCCCACTGCCTCTCTTTCTCAACCCTGTCTCTGATCCTTTCCTTCCTGCAGATGAAGACGCCAGTGGTTCTGGAGAGGGACAGCACTATGCAGATGACTGGATGGCTGGGGCAGCAGCTGTGGCCCCCCCAGCCAGGCTGCCTCGCCCTCCTCGAAGGGATGTTAGTGGGGGCAAGGGAGGAGGTGTCCTTGTCCGCCACAACCAGGGCAGGAGCAGGACTGGGGGGACATCTGTTGGTTTTCACACCCAACCCATCCTCATTCTCTTCCTCTCAGCCCTGGCCCTGCTTGGACCAAGATAACAGGGGAGGGGTGCCCTAGCATCAGAAGGGTTCATGGCCCTTCCCCTCCTCCCCCCTGCCCTTCAGCTGGGTCTGGGGAGGAGTTGAAGGGGGATGCAGAGAGGTAGAGAAAGGGACTTTTTGGGTGAATGGCTGGGGCCCCAAATCCAGGAGATTACCATTGGTGGGTTGGGGGTGGGTGGGTGTTCACAATATTTATTTTTTCATTTACAATCTGGGGAGGAGGGAGCTGGGGGTATTTATTTAGGAAGGAGGTGTACTCATCAACCAAGCCTCTATGTTGGGCCAGTTGTCAGCCCCAACAAGGAAAAAGGGAGGAGTTTTAGAGTTGCCATTGGGGGTGGGGTTTGAAAGAAGCTGGAAGTGGGGAGGGGTGGGGCACCTGGGTTCAAAGGGACAAAGCTGGGTGCGGATAGGGTGCAGGGCAGGGGACTAGGGTATGTGAATAAGGTCAAGATCTGTGGGCCTGGTTTCTATGGAGTTTTCTCAGTATCAATTTCTTAAACTAAAATACCAAAAAGAAAAAAAAGAGCTCATCTCATGATCTCTGTCATCCACATCCTTCACAAGCTTCCACACTTCATGCTTCAGTGTTGGATTCAGTGTTTATTCTACAAATAAACAGCTAACGTATTGAACCCTGTGTGTGACTCTGGACTTGTAGCATCCTTCCCTGAGCCCAGGCTCCTGGCAGAGGCTTCTAACCACTCTTGGAACCTGCCCCCTGTCATTCTGTTTGGTCAAGTTGTCTACCCTCTGGGTCTGAGCCCCTTCATCTGTAAAATGGGGAGAATTGTGGGGACCGGCAAAATTCTTCCTGAACCTGAGGCACCTTTAATATTACCACACCGCTGGCCCCTGCCTTCAGGGTGGGGACCCCTGTTCTCTGTGTGTCAGCTGGGGGCTACCTTGTCAGGTCCTTGACAATGTCTGCTTTCAACTCGTCTGTTATTTTCTCTTTCCTTCTTTCTGTGGCCTGAATGAGTCTTTTGTTCTGCAGAAAGCTAAGAGGAAAAGGTATAATTGATTCCTAAGTGCGAAAGGAGGGTAGAAGTGCTGTGTTCCAAGGGCGGGCTGGGTGCCCTGACGAAGGAAAGATGCCGGGAGTGAGAGACCCAGAGACGCGATTAAAGCCCAAGCAGCTGCAGGAACTGGCGGGACAAAGGGAGGGAGGGGGAGGAGCCTGGGCGCGGAGCAAGTTTATGGGGAAAGTTGAGCACTGCGCGGAGCCGGGCGGTGGCTGGGGCGGGCGAGAGGGCCAGACCCCGATTTCCCTGCTGCTCCTCAGGTGGCCTGGTGAGTGGGCAAGTGAAGCCAAGGCCGCGGCCGGTGGAGGGACTCTCGAATTTATGGGAGGAGACTTGGGGGGTTCATAGAACCCCGGAGGGGGCCAACAAAGGGCTGGCCACAGACTGAGCAATCACCAAAGCTGGAGGGGCCAGAGGGCTGGAATGGGGCTAATGGGAGGAGACAGAGATGGATGAAAAAGGACTAGAAGTCTGGACACAGGAGGGAGTCCGGTGCAGGGCTGGATCCTGGGGGCTGTGTTGGGGGAGGGATTTGAGGGGTGATGCCAGAGGGGGCGGGTCTCTAGGTAGCAAGTGTGAGTTCTCCTTGCCTGGGGTCATTCCTGGCTTGTCCCAGAAAGGGGCTGTCGGGGCTTTTTGGAGGGGCTGTGGCCCATGGTTGCGGCTGTGATCTGAAGGGGTGAGTCCAGACTCCCAGTTGATTAGGAACCTGGGGCCTGGGAAGGAACTCAGAAGCTCCATGTTTGTATCTTTCGGTATCTTTATGTCGCAGAGGTTTTTTTTCTCTCTCTCCAGCTCCACCCTCTCAATCTCCTCTGGGTGCAGAGGGAGTTGGAAAGCCGGCACGGGGGAGTAGGGGGTGTCCAGGGAGCTGAGCCTCATCAGCAACCCCACGTCTCCCCCAGCTCTTCACACACTGGGGTCTGCCCTGTGCTGAGAGCACTTCGGAAGGGGCGAGAGATGCCTGAGTTTTGACTCGTACTCATGACAAAGTCGTTCCTGTAGTTGACCTCCCTGGGTTCAGTAGCCTGTGCCCTGTCTGACTCCCTTTCCCTCCTTATGGATGCCCCTTGTGGCCTCAGAATGGGGCTCTTCATCCCTATCTGTCACAGGCAGAGGAGCTCATGAGGAAGCTAAGGAAGCCAGGGGCCGGCCGATGTCCACCTCAGTGGCACATGAGTGGATGGGTCCTTCTACAGGGTCTTGCCTTTCTCCCCTCCCCTTCTAAACCCCTGAGGCTCAGGTAGAAACTGCAGGTGGGGGCCGGGGAAGCTGACAGGAGTACTTGTGGACCACCAGGAAGATCTGGGTATAGAGAGCACATGCCCCCACCCCCACCCCCCACAGGCTTCCACTCCTGGAATGAGCTGCAGCAGCAGGAGAGAAGGCTCTACCCTCTCCTTAGACTCCCCTCCTTCCCCCCTCATTTCCCTTCTAGACGCTGACAGAGGCAAAAATCTGCTAACTCAGGGGGCAGACTCAACCAGGGCTCCGAGCAGGCCTGGGGGATGACCCCCCGATCTCAAACCAGCGCCTTCCACGGCTGCACGGCTGTCTCAAGCTGTCTCTGCCTCTGTGCCTGGCCCTTGCCCTGTCCCTCGCTAGCATCACCCTTACCTGTGCCACATGGGCCCTCTGTCTCCTACCAGGACCATGCGCCTCTGGGGGCCTCGGAGCCTGGGGGTGGCTCTGGGAGTCTTCATGACCATCGGATTTGCCCTCCAGCTCTGGGGGGGCCCCTTCCACAGGAGGTGAGTTCCCATCTTGTCCCAATGCCTTATAGATGCCCCCCATTTGCTCCGCCCCATACCACCTAGGTCTGTGACTCTTGGGGACTCTGAGGAGGTTCCATGTCCTCTGTCCTTGTTCCACAAAATGCCCACCCACCTGCTGGTGAGGGACAGGAAAATTCCCTTCCCATCTCTCCCCAGGCTACCGGGCCTGCAGCTCCGACAGCCCTTGGCCCCATCCCCGGGATCGGCTGTTTCATCCTGCCTGCCCCGGCAGCGACTTGTGTTCCTGAAGACGCATAAATCTGGGAGCAGCTCTGTGCTGAACCTGCTTCATCGCTACGGGGACCGACATGGGCTGCGCTTTGCCCTCCCTGCCCGCTACCAGTTCGGCTACCCAAGGCTTTTCCAGGCCTCTCGGGTCAAAGGCTACCGCCCTCAGGGTGGAGGTACCAAGCCCCCCTTCCACATCCTCTGTCATCACATGAGGTTCAACCTGAAAGAGGTGAGGGGTGTAAGAGGGGATGGGTGGGATTGGAGAGACGTGGGCTTGGGCTTGTGGCCAAGACCACCAGGGGAGGAGGCCCCAGGCCTGGGGGTTCCCAGGTACCCCTTCACCCAAAAATTGGGCATGGGAGCCACAGAGATTCCTGTTCTCCTCTCCTCAGCTGTCCCTTGCCTAGTAGTTTCTGGGAGCCAAAGTCCTGCCTTCTCCCATCTAGAGCTTTCCAGTCTCTTTCCTTGACCAATTTACCCCACTGATATCAGTGCCCTGACAACTCTGATCCCCCAGACTCTCACTCTTCTTGGCCCCTTCTACTGACATTACCAGGGCCCTTGCTCAGCCACTGCCTTCTGACCATCCTCCTCTGCCAGATACGGAGAATCAGCTACATGCCAAGCCCTAGCCTGGTCCTGACCCCCTCCTCCCCGGTTCTAAAGGGGAAGATGTGTGCATGCACTCACGTACTCATCCATACACACCCAGGAACCTGAGAGCTCTTGGGCAAACAAAATCAATGTGCAAATGAAAATATACAGGGAAGGAACTTTTATTGAATACTTACTGTCTGCTGGGTACTAAGCTTACCATCACCTTGCCAGAAAGGCATTATAAATGTCTCCATTACACAGATGAGGTCAGGTTTCAGAGAGGCTAAGTGACTGGCCTCCTTAACAGAAAGCAGCAGAGCTAGGATTTGAACTCAGGTCCATCTGCTCCCAAGTCAAAGGGCCTTCCCTGGCATGTGTGCATGTGTATGTGTGTTTATATTTGGAACTGTGAGGAGAATATTCACCAAAAGAAGCAGGGCTTTCTGGTGAAGTGGCTTTTAAGGAAAGGGTGGACACAACTTTGTAGTAAGAAGAATATCAGGTATTTTAGAGGGAGCAGAATATCAGCAAAGGTGTGCTGGTCCTGGTGGTGGTGGTGGTCCTAGTGTGTGTCTGTGTGTGTATGTGTGTGTGTCCTATTAAGCTGGAGCTGGAGAAAGCAGCTGAGGGTCATGAGTATCATCTAAAGGGCAGTGAGGGGTCACTGCTGGGAGTGAGGTGATGACAATGATCTTTCAGGCAGGTGTCTCTGGTTTTTGACCTTTGACCTTCATTGTCATCACCATTCAGTGAGTACCTACCATGTTCCATGCACTTCCACATTCAAGGTAAGTGTTAACCCAGATTTATAGATGGAGGGACAATGGCTCTGAGAAGTTCAATAACTTGTCTAAAGTTACACAACTGGTAAATGGCTGAACTGGGATTTTATTGCAGGTTCACCTGACGCCACAGACTGTTCTCTGTACTGTTCTTCCCTGCCTTCAAAGAGACACTCAGTTTACAAGCTGTGCTCCGCAGGCATGCCCACATTAGCAGAGCAGATTGGAGGACAACGTGTGAGGGCGTCAGGTTTAGTGATAAGCCATGTTCAGAGGCAGAAACCCTTTGGGGAGCCCAGGGGCTGGGTCCTGATGTGGATCTGCTGCAGGACCATCCTAGGGTGTGGCTCAGTCCAATTCCCACCATCTTTCTTGCTGAGAAGTAGAATCGTATGTCCCAGGCCTCAGGGTAGCACTCTACCAAGTGTCCATAGCTCCCCAGTGCCCAGTCCAGGGGTGTCCTTTACTTTCCAAGATGCCTAAGAACCCCAGAAGTACCCTGTCCTTTGGCCATCCTGGGCTTAGCCTGCCTACCTGATGCCTATACTTGAGACAGCATTATGGTTGGTCCCTCTCCTCCCTCTTTGCTGCCAGTGACCACTCCCCCCTCCCCACACCCCCACCTGGAGGAGGCCTGAGACTAGTTCCTTTCTTGAAGCTGTGACCAAGAGTCCCAGGGTAGGCACCTAAGAGGTTTTTGCTGGAGAAGTGAAGACAAAGTTTGATTCTTAAAGATTTTACTGACCAAA